ACACACACACACACACACACACATACATATGCACACACACGCACAATGTAAGCGGTGGAGGGCGCGGCTAGTGGATCCTGGCTCTTTAGGCCGGCTCCCGCTGCAGTGGGAATCCCCGGAGCCTTTGGGGTGGAATACACTTACGATGGATCTATGGGGAAAGGTCGAGCTGATTGCTTTTCAAATACATCGCAGGGCTCTGCTGACCGGCACCCTCCAAACACACAAGGACACGCTCGCTACTTGCTTGAATCCCAGAGGAGGGGGGAGGGAAGAAGGGAGGGAGAGCGCAGAGGCAGAGAGGGGGTGGGGGAGAGAGCGAGCCGCGGCAGCGAGCGGTCCGTCTCGCACGCGCGGGCACCGCGCTGGTCCTGGGCTGCAGGTTTCCCAGATGATGGCATCCGAGAACTTAAACAAAGGGGGACGCCGCCGGCGCAAAGCGGCTGCGGAAAGTTGCGGTGGCGGATTTCCAAGGAGCGTGGCCACGACCCGAGCCCTTGGCGATGCGAGCTCTCCCTTTCCACCCCCGCCGAGACAGAGATGGGGGCCGGCTGGTGAAGGAAAAAGGAAACTTTGAAACCACTGGGGATACATCTGCCTATAGGTATTAGCGTGAATGGTGCATCCATGCCGCGCGCTTTACAAATCTCTGGGATGGGAGTGGGGGCGGGGAGGGCGGCTACACAACGCAGTACTAGGTGAAGTGGGTAGGTTGCTATTTTTCATGATTTTTCCCCCTCTTCATTTTCCTTCTGATTCTAACTCTCCCCCCCTCCCCGCCACCTCCTTTCTCCCATCCCTCCCTCCCTTTTCTCTCCCCTTTTATCCCCCTTCCCAGACTGGTAGCGAACGCCCCGAGCCGCGGAGAGAACGCCAACCTCTCGGCCGGACACTAAGAGTTAAGATGTGGCGGAGGGGGTGGAGGGGGAGGGGCGGAGAGGAGAAAGTGGCCAGGGGGAGGGAGGCTGGGGGGGGGGGGGGGGGAGGACAGATTTCCAGCTTCTACGACGCTCTGCCTAAATTAAAAAGCAACCAATCGGAACGGCCGGAAGGGGGGCCGCGCGTCCTGAGCCAGTCATTCTGGGCCTGCCAATCACCCAGCGGGTAGCCAATCAGCGGGGGCCCTGGTGCTCGACTTCCTTGTATTTGGGAAAGTGTGGTGGTGGGTGCGCGCTCGCGGCGGAGGGTAAACATTCGACAGTCCCTGCTCTGAGAGGGAGGGACAGAGAGCGAACTGTCAGATCCTAGCGAGAGCGGGCGGGCGAGAGAGGGAGAGGGAGTGAGAGAGAGAGAGGGAGGGAGAGGGAAAGTGAGAGAGGGAGAGAGAGCGCGAACGAGGGCGCAGAGCGAGCTCCCGCTGCAACTCCGCTTCGGCTCGGCCAGCGCCAGCGCCGTCGGTGCACTCTACGAGCCGTGCAACGTGCCCACTGGAGTTGGTTGTGTATCAAGGATCCCCTATATGCACACACACACCTCCACCTCCACCAATGCACTCTTCTTCCTCCTCCTCCTCCAGACAACTGCTGGGAAAAAAATAAAACACCAGCCCCAACCGTCAGCAACAAGGTAACAGAGCCATTCGACCTCATTTTTCTCCTGTTCAATTTTTTCCTTGTTATATTTGTTTCCTAATTTCTGCCCAAAAGGAAAGATGTCGCATCAGACTGTGACTGTTGCGAGGAGAATGAAAAAGGACTCTTGTTTCAGAGGCAACCAAGAGCTCCGGCAATAGCAACTTCAGAGAAATGCACCATCGCAAGAAGTTTTCCTAGGACAGAACAAAACTTGAAACGAAAGGACCAGAGGAGGAGAGCAGGAGCCAGCCTCTCCTCTCCGCACACGCGAGCAGCCAGCATCACCACGCCTTCAAGGACGAAAAAAAAAAGTTTTACTACTCGAAAGGAAACCGAGTGAAATGTGTTCCTGAGGAGGAGAGAAGAGAGCGGGCGAGGGGAAGGAGCAGTCCGGTTGCTGGTCATCCATAATTTGGTTAAGGAAGAAAGGAACGGCTGCTTTCTTTGTTGTCTCCCGTGAAATCTTCACTTAGCAGGTGGACTGAGCCCCGCGCCCAGGCAGAGTCCTCACTCGCCTGAGGACAGCAGGAGGAGCCGGAGCCGGAGCCGGCGCGCCCCGCCAAAGAGCCCGGAGCGCAGGCCCGCGCCCCTCCCGGTGAGCCCCGCTGGAGCGAGCGGAACGCGCCGGGGCTGGGGGGCGGCCACGACCCCCCCTGAAGGGGGCGGCCACGGAGCGCGCCCCGAGAAGCGAGCCCCCCTTCCCAGAGCGCTGCTCCTGCTGCTGCTGCTGCTGCTGCTGCTGACCAAGGCCGGCCGGCGACCCCCGCGCCCTGCCGAGCGGCCTTGCAGCTGCAGCCGGCGGCCGCGGCGGCGGCGGCGGCGGGGGCGGAGGCGGCGGAGGAGGAGGCGGCGGCGAAGGCGGCGGGGCCGGCCCGGGCCCCGGGCGGGGGCGGGGGAGGAGCGGGGGGAGGAGGCGGGAGGCGGGGGGGCGCGGCGGCGGCGGCGGCGGCGGCCGCGGCTGCTGCTGCTGCGGCGGCGGCGGTGGTGGCGGCGGTGGGGTGGCGGGAGCGGAGCGGCATGGCCACGGCGGCTTCTAACCCCTACCTGCCGGGGAACAGCCTGCTGGCGGCCGGCTCCATTGTACACTCGGACGCGGCGGGAGCCGGCGGCGGCGGGGGTGGCGGCGGCGGGGGTGGCGGCGGCGGCGCTGGAGGCGGCGCGGGCGGCATGCAGCCCGGTAGCGCCGCCGTGACCTCGGGCGCCTACCGAGGGGACCCGTCCTCCGTCAAGATGGTCCAGAGCGACTTCATGCAGGGGGCCATGGCCGCCAGCAACGGCGGCCATATGCTAAGCCACGCGCACCAGTGGGTCACAGCCCTGCCCCACGCCGCCGCCGCCGCCGCCGCCGCCGCCGCTGCCGCCGTGGAGGCGAGCTCGCCGTGGTCCGGCAGCGCCGTGGGCATGGCCGGCAGCCCCCAGCAGCCGCCGCAGCCGCCGCCGCCGCCGCCGCCGCAGGGCCCCGACGTGAAGGGCGGCTCCGGACGCGACGACCTGCACGCGGGCACCGCGCTGCACCACCGCGGGCCGCCGCACCTCGGGCCCCCGCCGCCGCCCCCGCACCAGGGCCACCCGGGGGGCTGGGGGGCCGCCGCCGCCGCAGCCGCAGCCGCCGCCGCCGCCGCTGCAGCCGCACACCTCCCGTCCATGGCCGGAGGCCAGCAGCCGCCGCCTCAGAGTCTGCTCTACTCGCAGCCCGGGGGCTTCACGGTGAACGGCATGCTGAGCGCGCCCCCGGGTCCAGGTGGCGGCGGCGGCGGCGCGGGCGGCGGCGCCCAGAGCCTGGTGCACCCGGGGCTGGTGCGCGGGGACACACCCGAGCTGGCCGAGCACCACCACCACCACCACCACCACGCGCACCCTCACCCGCCTCACCCGCACCACGCGCAGGGGCCTCCGCACCATGGCGGCGGCGGCGCGGGGCCCGGACTCAACAGCCACGACCCGCACTCGGACGAGGACACGCCGACCTCGGACGACCTGGAGCAGTTCGCCAAGCAGTTTAAGCAGCGACGCATCAAACTCGGCTTCACGCAGGCCGACGTGGGGCTGGCGCTGGGCACGCTGTATGGCAACGTGTTCTCGCAGACCACCATCTGCCGCTTCGAGGCCCTGCAGCTGAGCTTCAAGAACATGTGCAAGCTCAAGCCGCTGCTGAACAAGTGGCTAGAGGAGGCGGACTCGAGCACCGGCAGCCCCACGAGCATCGACAAGATCGCGGCGCAGGGCCGCAAGCGCAAGAAGCGGACCTCCATTGAGGTGAGCGTCAAGGGCGCGCTCGAGAGCCACTTCCTCAAGTGCCCCAAGCCCTCCGCGCAGGAGATCACCAACCTGGCCGACAGCCTGCAGCTCGAGAAAGAGGTGGTGCGGGTCTGGTTCTGCAACCGGCGCCAAAAGGAGAAGCGCATGACGCCACCCGGGATTCAACAGCAGACGCCGGACGACGTCTACTCGCAGGTGGGCACCGTGAGCGCCGACACGCCGCCGCCGCACCACGGACTGCAGACGAGCGTGCAGTGAAGGCCAGGGGCGCAGCGCAAAGAGGGCCGCCGCCGTCGCCGCCGCCTCCGCAGCCGCTGTCAGCACCGCCACCAATTCCCGCCGCCGCCGCCGCCGCCACCGCCGCCGCCGCCGCCGCTGCCGCCGCCGCCGCCGCCGCAGCGCCAACCCCGCACTGGGGCAGCACCGGGCCCGGGCGGGTCCGCCGCCCTCTCCTCCGCCCAAAGACAAACATGCCGGCCCTTGGAGGCAAAAGAGCGAGAGAGAGACAGACCAAGGAGACGTTTCTGAAGTCCAGGGAAGGAGGGGCACAACAAAACAAAAAGCATAATAAATACCGAGACTGTTTTATATACATATATATAACAAACAAAACCGGAAGAGAAAAAGGAGGCGATCATGAGATCTCGTTTATACTGTGGTGGTGTTTCCTTTTTGTTTTTCTTTTTCTTTTTAAAGAAGGGTGAAGATGCCTAGCGCACCAAAACTGCACTCCTGAGGTTTTATCCACCCTAGAAAGTCCTACACGGCAACGGTGGACC